TGATGTTTTAGGGGGTCCATTTGAGAAAAAAGAGAGGAGCTCTGTAAGTTTCTAATTGTGGAATAAAAAAAAAAGGTTTTATCACATCATAGATATATTCTCATCAACACTGCAGAGAATATGTAGTGTAAACAAAAGCACAGGACACAGGAATCAAATTGAACTACTTTTAGTTTAATATTTTAATAAGTACAGCATAATAGACTAATGATGATCATGTCAATACAGTAGTACTTATATTAAAGACTCAAAATGTTATTGCTGCACGGTTTAAAGAAATGTCTGCCTGTCTTCTTTTATGTGCCATATAAAATTAAATGCAGCATACAACAAGGAAAACAAAATGGTCTTCGGTGCTACAGTTACAGGACTTGATGGAGAAATACAGCGAATTTCCAAAACATATTAACCAGGAAACTTCACAGGAAAATGTAGTAATTTAGTTTCATGCAGATTTATTACTGAAATTCTGGCCACCAGTCAAAATGGTTCAGTTCTTCCATGCCAACTCATTAATGGTAGCCAGCCCATTGATCATTGTTGGCAAAGAAGAGCAAAAATGACTGGGAACAATATAAACTGCACATCTTTTAAAGCAGCAAACACCACTTCAGACAGCCAATGTGCAAACCATGTCCTCACATATTACTTTGTTTAACTCAAGCTGTATCAAGTAACCACAGAGCCACAGAAATAACCAGCTTTTCACAAAGTGAACTTCATGGCGTTCACACTCCGCTCTGTTGAGCCTTTAGGCTTTTCACTTCCATGGCTCCATTGAAATAAGTGCCTTGCATCAGTTAGAGGCATGGTAGTATCAACTTAATAGTGCAATTTTACATTCCTCGTCATGGATCTAATTTTCTCCATATCCTCCATAAAACTATTTGGTGTGCGTGAAACTCAACAAAAGACAAACAGAAAACAGAAACTTAAAAATCAAAGTGCATGTAGAATATCTACAGGTAAAACTTAATCACGTCAGTAGATTGTCATCAGTATACTGCATATTTGCTTAAATGTGAAGCTTCAGTCAGCCCTCAAGCAGCATGCCAACTGAAAGCAGATGTAAAGTAGATGAGTTCTCTGGATTGAAACATGCCTCTTTGTATCATCTCTTCAATGCCAACAGATGTGTTGTCTGCATTATAACTACTTCAGTGATTGGACATTTTTAAACCTAATCTGCCTGCTTGGAATTGCTATTCGAACCCTTAGTTTATATATAATGAGAAGTAAAATTTGTCAAATTCAGTACAGTTCTACTGTCACCATTAAAGAAATGTCTCTACCTGCCATGTTAACGGTAGACTTTTCTGTACAGATGTTATATCTCTGAGTTTTCTAAAAGTACACGCTCCCCTCTCACTAAACAGACGCTTGATGGGCATACAGATCATGTCTATATTGGGTCCATGACCGATAAGGAATGTCTACACATCGTCCAATAAGGTAAATGTTTGAGCGTTCCATTGTTTGAACATCCTGAAGATATCCAGTAAAGGTATAGATTTTTTTTTTTATTTCCTCAACATACTCCCTGCGTAAAGACACGTTATAATAAGGACTCTTCTAGATCACCTTTGCAGAGTACAAGACTAGACGATGTCTTTGTTTAAACGTCTACAGCGCATTTCATTTAGACTGCCATAGGTAAGCGTAGTACGAATCTGGTCACTGCCCACTATACGGTCCTTTCTAGGTCACTTTTGCAGGTATAATGTTGGTCACCTGAAAGTGGAGACCAAAAAACCAGATGACACATTTTTTTTAACGTCTACAGCAACTCCCATTTCCACCTCTACAGTACCATTAAATACAGTGCAAATCTGGTTGCTGTAGATGTCTTGATAAAAATTCCATTTGTAATGAAACAGATTTAATTATTCGGTATTCAGCTGCTCCCTTATTCAGGGGTCACTTTATCAAGTATTTAGAACCTGCTGACAGACATGCCAGAAACCAGGAATCAACCCAGGTCCCTTCCTTTATAGGCAACAACTTAAACCACCTCAACATGAGGACTAAATTAAATCATTAGGTTTGGTTCAAATTACACTTCCAGTAAGGATTGTTTTTCAGTTTTCAGTTCAATCTTATAAAATATTTCAGCAAATACTAGTAAATCTAGTAAGAATTTTACTGAATAAAATTAAATCCTGATATTACAGATAAAGAAAAAGGTTTTTCATTTAAGTTACTCTTTTAATCACGTGCATACCCCTTACAAATGGAGTTCCCCCCATCCCTCAGTGAGGTCTAGAAACTCAAGATTTATATCCAATCAATTAAGCAAAGATGCCGCTAGTGGCTAAACATGTCATTTTGTTATTTGACCAATTAGGTGAACAGTTGATATATTACCTACTGTAAATAAACTTTAAAAAAAAGTTAACAAGTGAAGAAAAAAGTAAAAAGCTAAGTGAAAAGTTAATAGGCTAATCTAGGTGTAGTACTGGATTCAGACTTGAACCTCCAAAAGCATTTAAAGACAATTACAAGGTCGGCTTTCTATCACCTGAAGAACATTTCCAGGATTAAAGGACTAATGTCTCAGCATGATCTGGAAAAACTAATCCATGCGTTTATTTTCAGTCGAATTGATTACTGCAACGGTGTTTTCACAGGTCTGCCTAAAAAGTGGATCAGACAGCTGCAGCTGATCCAGAACGCTGCTGCCGGTGTCCTCACTAAGACTAAGAAAGTAGAGCACATCACCCCAATTTTAAAGTCCTTACACTGGCTCCCTCAGAGAATAGACTTTAAAATACTTCTGTTAGTTTATAAATCTCCTTAGCACCTAAATACATCACAGACTTGCTATCAGTGTATCAACCCTCCAGACCACTCCGGTCTTCTGGCTCCAGCCTGCTCTGCATACCTAGAACCAGAACTAAACATGGAGAAGCAGCATTTAGTTCCTATGCTCCACTTATCTGGAACAAACTTCCACAAAACTGTAAAAGTGCAGAAAGCCTGAGTTCTTTTAAATCAAGACTAAAAACACATTTGTTTAGGATTGCCTTCGACTGTTCTAGTTAAACAGTTCAACTGAAACATCATTAGTTCAACTTTTTTATTTTCTTTAGTCCAACTGTTTTTAATATTCCTTTTTGTTTCTGCATTTTATATTTAATTTTTTTCCTACTTGCTTTGATTCTGTTTTATTTTCCTATATTTTAACCATGTAAAGCACTTTGCATTGTCTTTGTACTGAATTGTGCTATACAAATAAATTTGCCTTGCCTTGCTATGATAAAAAAACAGGAAAGAAATGTTAGTGCCTGTATCAGCAAAAAAAAACTAAAAAATGTATTTCATTCTGTGAGTGTTTATCATGAATTTCCTATAGAAGTAGTCATTTTTCTGTTATTATTATTTTGATCTTAGTTGTTGGCATCAAAATATACTTATTTTTTTAATGTTACCAAAGTAATGTTACACCCTTATATAAATTAGCTGGCATTATGTACCGACTGCCTCCGTGGATGCATTAAGCAAACTGTTATCCACACAACACTTTAAAGTAGGTGTGTTTCTGTTTTGTCCTGTTTTGTGAAATGTTTTAGCTTAGCTATCCTAGAGTATTTACATCTAGTTGTGCTGGAATTAGTTATTGTGGTTGAATTATGGAGAATTTTAATAACTGCAAATGTCAGTGGTTTCATATTAATCCAGTATTATAAGCTAAAATTGTTGTTTGTTCAAATGTTCCTCTAAAACAGTGGTTCCCAAAGTGTGGGGCGCGCCCCCTAGGGGGGGCATAATGCCATTGCAGGGGGGGCGCGGGAAGCGGTATGGATGAATGAAGAAAAAA